GATTGTGGCGAGCAATCAACAGAGGCTGAGGTCTCGCCATCGCAGTGCCAGTCGTCGTCGTGCCGAAAGAGGAACAAGTGCTGCAAGTGCCAGAAGAGATGGGTCCCCGGAATCCAGACACAAAACATCCCAGAGTCTTTCTGAGATTCAACAAGGGCCTAAGGCTGATCCTTGGGTACAGACCTCTGAGCCGGTACAATTATTGTCGAGCAAGGTCTTTGGTCAGGAGCCACCCTTCAGTGAATTTCCAAACGGACAGCCCAGTTCAACTGTGAACGACTTCCAGGATATTGTATCCCCAACAACGCCATTCGTCAGTGTGGCAGAGAGAAAGAGGAGAGAGTTTGCAGCTGCCGAACTAGAAGCTCGGAGGCTATCTCTTGCGCGTAACCCATCGGCACCAAACATTCCCTTCCCGGGCGAGCTCCAAAGCGTCAGAAGTCCCATCGAAAGCCCTCCACCATTCTCCGCTGGTAACTCGTATTTTCCACGAGCTCCATCTCGAAATAAAGTGACCCAGAGCAAGCCATCCCCCGACTATCCAAGCAGCTCGGACTCCAACTCATCACGCTCCGGTATGCCAGTTGGGCTCCCAGCAACTCCCCGAGCTATGCGCCATCCCAAGTACGGAGGAAACGGACAAGATGAAGAACGACCTCCTTCCGTGCCGACCATTCCTTCAGACACCAACCTTTTCCTCAGTAACGCCCGATACCAAGGTGACGCCGAAAGAATTGGTCGATCAATGTCTGTTCCCGTTCCAGAGGGCCAGTTTAACGGCACAGCACCAATGCCCAACGACCTCCCCATGCACCCACGCTTCAACCCGGCCCTCCCAAGAAGCAGATCTAGCAGCCGAAGCCGTAACACAGGCCACCGCCGCACCAGCTCAGGCGGCTTCATCTCAGGCACCTCCCCCAACCTCACCGTAAGCATCGAGGAGACAATTGAACAGGCAATGCAGCGAGGACCCTCGGTAAACTACGACAGTATCCCTCCTCCACCACCGCCGCCAATCCTTCCAGAATTGCAGCATCTCAATACACCACCTCCACCCCCTCCATTCCCAATCTCTGCGGACCCCATCTCACCGCGAGAGTCCTCCGCCACAATCGACATCGCCATCGACAACAATGAAGACTTTGGTCGCCTCCTCCCGCGGGCTATGACTGCTGCCCCGGCTTTCAATGTCCATACACAGAGCGTTGGTCCTCAATCTGGGAATCGACGTATGTCCTTTGACCATCGCCGGAACAGGAGCTCGAACGAGAGCTTCACCAACAAGTTAAGGAGCTTGACCCGTATGCGAAGTACTGCTAGTCGCAGTGTTGAGCCTTGGTCACAGGCTGCGGAGTCGGAGACGCCATATGAGAGTATGCATTCGCATGGTGTGGCCTCGAATCAGAATTATGTCCTTCCGAGTCAGAGCTATGTCTCGCCTGGTCAGAACTTCGTCTGAGAGATGTTTCCTCTGTCTCTCTACCCTTCGATCTACTTAGGTTTTTTTTTTTTTTTTGTCTTGGCTTTTTGCTCTAATCATGAATTTGTAACGTCCTGGCTTTCAACGCATCACGCGTCATGTTTTCACTGCCCCCGTTTTGGATTGTCTTTATTCTATTGCCCACTTTTGTTCTGGGCCCATACCCTCTCTCGCATTGCTTTGTTAATATGTTTTGGCTTCTCTTATATGCCCTCACCAAGTTACCACATATTCAAATTTCATCTCCCATCTTCGACTCTATACCTGCGGTTGATGTATGCACACCTCTCCTAGTCCTTGACTTTGATACACTTTCTTTTTTTTTTTTTTTTTTTTCAAAATTGCAGACAGCGATGTCTATAATCATCTCACCTTTGTCGGTATTTATTTCTTATCAGGGCAACCATATCTAAACATATGTGCCTGCAAAGGCTAATGATGACGGTGTCAGGTGTTTCTGAATTCAAGATGCTTTGATATAAAATAACGCGCCAAGTGCTGGAGATGATGTAGTTGTACATAAAGGATCAACATAAAAAAGTAAAGACCAATTAGACCATCAAGATCACCAGCCTCGGTTACGAGAGGATCCACCGTTGCCGGCATTCCGCTCCGCATCAATCATCCGATCGAAATCTGCCTGTGCTCGATCCTTCTCGCTCATTTGACCTGAGCCGTATTGTTCCCGGTTATGATCCGAGTACTCAGCATAAGGGTTGGTCATACCAGGCGGCTGGCGAGGCGAGCGTCCTCCCGCATTCTGTCGTCTGATGCGATCCCAAGCGCTACCGGACGGTGAGCCGTCAATGTTGGTATTGCGGTATTCCGCAGCCGTAGGGCTAGCGTCGTCTTCGTCCATGATGTCCAATGCTGATTTCGATTCAGGCTGGGGGCCTCTGCCCCGTGCCCAAACTGCACCAGTGTTGATGCGCTGTTCTGGTTCAGCTTGCGGCTCGTATGAAGACTGGGAGCTCATCGAGGTGGTGTTGTATGCATCATTATCAGAGGGAGGAGCCGGTGCTTCTTGGGAGTCGTAGTTGTCCTCAGAATAACCACCGCCCCTTGAAGACCCCCCCGGTCCATTCTGCTGTCGCATCTGAGTGCCGATATCCGCGCCGCCCTGGCGTATGCTGCGAACTCTCTCGTTCGCCGCTTGAATCTTGCGCTTGCGTACGTCCTCAGGATCAGATTTTCGCATATCTTCAAGGAATTGCTTCATGCGTGGATCGCCCAAGGTGGACATGGCATCGGAAGAGACAGCCCAGCCGCTTGATGCCATGACGGCAGCGGTAGTGATGAAAAGCATCTTGAATGCAGTCGACGGAACTGTCCTTCTGAAGTCGTTTATGTCGAATTTCCACATATGGCGCGCCGTATCAAAGAGAGACTTGGGTGTAGGGTTGGCCGGGAAGTCGGGCGATTTGCGTGCTTTGTTGTAGAAGTACGCGGTACCTGCAAATGCGCTCACAGGCAATCCGATGCGTCGGTAGTAGAGCGTTCGCGACCCATGCTCGAGATGCGCATCCATTTCCTCTTGGGTTGGATATCGCGCTGTCAAGACATACTGATTCTCCACTCGACTTGTGATCATCCTACCCAGTTCCCGTGTCCAGGCAGTTTCACCCCAGAACCCAAAGTACAGTGTGAAGAAATCTGGCCTCTTCACCAGCTCCGGCCGGAGAAGGAGCTTGTTGTTTCTTGCCAGAGCGGGGTTATTGTCGGCAAATGCTTGCGAGGAGGAGTCCGAAGAGGAATTGTTGTTGGGGGACGAGCCCGCCTGTGGCGAGGCATAGTTGGAGCTCATTGTGAGGATCTCGACTGGCAGAGAAGCTTGGTATGGTGAAAGAGAGCTCCGTAGGAGCTTGGTTGGTTCAAGTTCTCCAGATTGACCTCAGGAACTTCGAATGACGTTGAGCGCTGACAAAGCTCAAAGTTCCAATTTATGCCTCGAATTCAAGGCATCAACATCCCCCTTCAAGGTAATTCAATACCGAGTGATGCACCTACCACAAAACGCGTCAATTAATTAGACCAGAAGACAGCGAACCTTCACAGGAAAGCGAGCCACTGATTGTACATATCTCACTTCGATAGGTTGGAATGGCTTTGCAAACAGGAGTTTTGTCATTTTAGTACCACGAATTTCTACTATAGATATCTGTTTTCACAACAAGCGCAATCTGAAAGTGGACTATATGGTTTCACAATAAATCTTCCAGGCCCTAACGGACTAATGCGTTAGTTAGATGAGAACGTTAGATATATAGGGGCCTGCAATACTCGAAGCCGCAAAAGCAGTACCAAAGAAGACAAAGAAGAAACAGATCATCTAATTTCACCCACTACCACTTCCTAGTGAGCAAATATGAACTCTTTTTCCGCTCGCTGTCCATGATCCATTTAAATTCCATTCCTTAGGATGTATCGAAAGGAATGTTTCTTTATGAACTGCAAACTTTTCACGGCGATGTACAGAAGGTAAAGAGTCTCAGTCTCTCTGGCTTGTCTTAAAACCATGATCAATACTCGAAATGCCTCGACCACTAGCGAGTCATATACAGCTACTGCAATGATATTCATGTACTTCACATAGCGGGGTCTAAAAATATGAGTCAAAGTATGGGAACTTATTCAAACTAAGCGCTTTGGTCTTTATCGACATCGCCATCTGGTCGTTACTGAAGTCAACTTTCTAGGCCGTTGTTGACAAAAAAATTCGGGTTCGATCTCAAAGAAACGCAGCAGTGCCTTGAAGATACGGAGCGCAATTTGTTATGAGTGAAGCAAATACATAGTGAGACATTGCGTGGGCCGAAATATCTACTGAAGATCTACGGAGTTCTGACTTAGTTCATTTCAGCTTGAAATTTCGCTTAATCTGTTCCTGGGCTAAAACAGCTACCGAGATATAAATGTGGTGACCCATGTCATAGTACCCGTTGGAGGTGGACCTAGTTTCGCACGGCTCCATCAATGACGATGTGCTCCATATAAAATTCTGAACATAAGGGGTAGGGCCGATGCCCTAGCCCCTGCCCAGCGATCAGTATTTAAGATCACTCAGGGTAACAGTAATTAAACCTCTGTATCTCCCTAGATGGACTGGAATTCACCACAATTTTCGCAAATTCCAGCTCAATTCATGGGAGTTCAGGAAGCCATTCATTCTCTCTTCAACTGTGACTATAACTAACAGACAGCGACCGCAGCCACCGAAAAACAACACTTTTTTCTTTCGCAGAACCTAACTCGCTCTAGCTACAAGAATGATCTATTGAGGCACGGGGGACCAATATCAGATTTCAGGATATTACTTCCGGTGCCATAGTTCCCGCCGCCACCCATCCACTAGCGGGAACCCGCCGACTGGACCGGGGTATGTTAACCCCTGCTCTCCCCCCTGCATCCCTTCACAATAAAGCTCCGGTGATGATCGACCACTTCCCTTTCTGCAAAGAAATTGTAGAAACTGTGTCAATCTACATTGTTTCATATTGGTCTCTGAGTTGCTGAAATTGTGGTCTCTTTGAATTTGCAAAATCATATATTCGCTTATATCCATGATCCATGGCTAATTGAGGTGTTTTTAATTAGGATCTGACATCTTTCGAGCACTCGGTCTGATTGTCATACAATATCATTCTCGCCCCGAAGACTATCACGATGCAAATCAATCGAACTTTTGTAGCTAGCTTTAGCCCCGTCAATCCAAGCTTTACTTTTCGACCCCATACTCATCATGAAGACTAAATTCATTCATCCCATTGCCGACCTCCTGCCGACCCATCGGCGTCATATCCAACAGATGGTATGTCGACAGAATACTTTCCAACCCCCGAGCGGTAGTGTCATAAGTATGGAAGACGCGATCGCCGTCTTTGCTGAAAACGCAGAGACCGAAATACCCATTGCCAGGCTTCCAAGTAACAGTCTCGCCCGCCTGCTCAGCCTCTTTCCATGCCTGGTGAGTTTTAGCAGAACTATAAAAAGGGAACTTCCATCCCATCCTCTTTCGATACGTAGTGATCTCAGACAATGGGGCAGTAGCGACCGCGGCAAACGAGGTATTTCGGCTGCGCAGATGCTCGAGATTGGGAATATGGTCCATGCAAAAGGAACACCCCACACAGCCAGCATGCTCGCCCGGGCCAAGCATGAAGTGGTAGATGATCAATTGGTTACGGCCATCGAAGATATCTACAAGGCTTTTTTCTCCTTCTGGAGTGTCGAATTTGAATCGATCCGGGTTGGAGATTTGCACCATAGGAAGTTCTCGGCGTGAGGCGGCTAGTCGCTGCAATAACTGTGTAGCTTCCTTTTCTTGCTTGAGAAGATGCGCCCGAGCTTGCTGATACTCGTCTGCGCCGACGATCTTTTTCTTATTGAATGTCAATATGGCAAAAACACGGTGGGGATACTTCCAAAGGGATCTTACTGTCTTTTCATTTGAATCCATTTTAATGGGGTTTGCCGGGCTCATTTCAGGTCGCTTTGAGGGAATGTTGTAGGAGATCTCAACTGGATGACGTCTTGGATCTCGGGACCTCGGAGCTCCGGGCGCGGTTACTCAGCATGTTGTATAATCTTGGAAATTTGACGATGCATTTCATTCTGAATATTTAGATCAAATCTTCACTCGACGTCACTAGTCTGCAATATGCATTTTCTGTAGTGTTCAAATATACCTTCATATCTGTCTATCTTGTCGTATATGCCGATTGACGCTTGTTTGCTCGCGTGATTTGGAACGTCCCAGCGCTGGAAGACGTACACTAGAGAGAAGGGTATGAAAATTGGACCCGGAACGCCGTTTGGAAACCGTAGGGAGATAGAATCCAATTCTTGTGCTTGAAGAGTAGGAATCTTAGTTTACAGAATAAGATCTAGCGAATATCTTTAGGCTGCAGTTGACGATGTCCGCAGAATGAGAATGGTCAATCTAGGCTCGTTTTATATACGGGATCGTGCACATACGTGACCAGCTTTGCCCCTATTTGGTCGCAGAGACAGAAAAATATTTAATAGAAGCGATACGAGACAAAGAGACTTTATTAGAATTCGTGCCTACAATTAGTGCAATTATCTTAAATCACCAACACAAGTAGAAGATATAAGAATAGCCCCGTGAGAATGTAACTTGTACTCCTGAACACTGCCCAACACGGGACGTTCAGGTAAAGTTAGCAAGAGAAAATTAAAGGAAGAAGAGTCAAACACCCAAGATGGGCCCATTGATTGTCTCGCATAAAGTGAATAAAACAAGGAAACCGCCACTATAAAGGGGTAGTGAAGCTAGCCAGGAAGAAACAACGCAAAGCCATCAATGTATGGGGGATCAACTCAATCACCAAGACGCCATGTAAATTTGCATGCCGGGCATGCAAGTGCATATTACAGTAGAAGAAGGTTAAAACAGGAGGCCGAAAAGAGTACCAGGATTGGCGGGCGTATCATGAAGTTACGAGTTCGGCTAGGATTAGCAGGACACGAGATTGACGTGGTGATCATTCAGCGCGGCACATGCAAGCACAGTCCGGTGGGGATGGAAAGCAGTGCTGGCGATAGGGGAAGAGCGGTTGTGATGGAGGAAGCTTGAGTATGGCTCGAAAGTGGACAGGTAGGTGCCATCCACATTGAAGGTCTTGACCTCATGGCGGTTTGTGCCCCTGGAAATTGGGTTAGTTCAAACGAACAAAGCACCGCGGAAGGGAACGAGTATGACGTACATGCTGAAAACAGGGGCGTGTTCATGCACACTCAAGGTTCGTAGGGTGTCTTTGGTGGCGTAGATGGTGGAGATTGGATCATCCATCCGTAGATCCCAAAGGCGAATCTCGCCATTGCGGCCGCCCGATATTAGTTCTCGCAGTCCACCACGCTGCATATGAACATTGGTAATCCATTGTTTGTGCTCGCGCCAGACCTTGACCATGGAGGTGGTGGGCTTCAGCCGCTGATCGAAGACTCGAACGGCACCATCGCCAAATCCTGCGACAAAGATGTTGCCAGCGACCTGGTCCGAGGTCAAGGACGTAATGCAAGAGCCAGAGCGTGCAGGAATGTCCTGTAAATTTATATTTGTAAGTGGTGAGATGGGCTGTAAACTTGGGAAGAAAGACTTACGTTTGTGCACACTTCGGTGGCAGCATTCCAAACACGAATAACCTTTACGTCACCTGCAACCAGAGCTTTGCCTTGTCCCTGCTGCCAATCAAGCACAAGACCAGCGTTTCGATTGCTGGGAATCAACTCAGGAAGCGCCCTGAAGGCCGTGACTACTTCAATATCTCTGTTAGACTCATAGTGGCGGAATAGCTTGATAACACCATCCGAAGAGCCAGTCATGAGAAGTGCCTGGTCATCCTCATTGATGTACCGGACCTCGTTGATCTTTGATCCTGCAGGGTTGCCATTGGAGAATTGATTAAGGCGTCTTTGGCCCTGCCAGTCCCAAATTCTAAATGGATGCATGGTCAAACGGGGTTCAACAGGGGTCTTTTGTGAGGAACTTACGCAATGGTGTCTCGATCATCTGCAACAGCAAGGTGATCCTCGAATTGATGGAAGCACATCTTCATGGGCTGACTACCATTTGACAACAGAGCAAGAGAATTATCCCACCGGCTTGCTCCTGCCTTTCCTTTAAGGGGCTGGGTTTCGGCAATAATCTTCTCATTGCGGCTGCGTCTCCAGAGGCGTTGGTTATAGTCCGAGCTACCTGGCTCATCCGGCTCATTGGGCTTCATCTGGGGTTCGCGGAAGTACTTGGGAACAATTAGTAACAGGGCAATGCAGGCGGTAGGCGGATCTTTCAAAAGAGATCTAAACTTACCTCGGTTGACCAGTCAAGGAATCGGCTCTTGAGGGGGATGACTGGGACGGCACCAGCGCCTTTGGGCTCAAAGCCTCGTGATGTAGGTGAAGGCGCCTGGTGATATGCTGTCGCAGGAGCAACGTGGTCATTGCCTTCTGGGGGTCGAGTCCATTCGGGAGGAGCACGTCCGCGAGGGGTGATGGGCATCCTACCAGTTGAGGGTGAGGGGGGTTCGAGTTGTCTGTTGGATCCCCATTTGTTGAGTTTCCAAAAGCGAGGTTCTTGAGGGAAGCAGCGACGCTGGCTGTTCGTTTGAACCCGATCGAAAGATATCCTTCTTGTTTAGAAGTTGCTGCCGATGATGAGGGAGGTGTTGAGGGCGGTGCCACCTTCTTTGTCTCGGAAAGCTCGTGAGTTTGAAGTTTCAAGAGCCCTGCGAGATCCAGGATTTCATTTTGAAGCTTGTTAGTCAGAGGAGCCATGGGGGATTCTAGCAATGACAGGTGGATGTAATCAACAATGACGGCGGCATCCTGGCCAATGTCAGGGTGAGGATCAACCGAGAGAGCCAGGAGTTGTTTCCAGATAGTCCCGAAGGTGGTGTTGCGAGATAGCTTTGGAGTAGAGGACACTGTTCCATTTTGGCTCTCGTTGTAGGTCAACTGGGGGTTTTCGTTCTCGAAGCGCTGGCGCAATGACCGCTTCTCGTCTTGAAGTTCTTCAAAGGCCGCAACCAAGAATTTGTTTTGGTGTCGTCTAACAAATGTTGAGAAGAATACTAGAAGTTCCTTTCTGACAACCACACTGCCATCTGAGGACATGGGCAAGACAGCTAGAGCCAGAGTTTCCTCAATTTGGGCCACTTGGTCTGTCAGGTCAGGAATTCCCAGGAAGGTCGTCACGGCGTGCAACATCGCAGCACGAACCTCGGGAACGGGGTCGAAATTCAACTCGCAAAGTCTCGCAGGAGCTGCACATCGAATGCCCATCCACTTTGCTTCTGGGAAGTCACACCAGAGCATGCTAAGACACAGACATGACCACTGTCGCAGCAAAGGGTTTTCCACGTCGCCTAGATGTCTGAGTGACGAGTCAAACAGCTCATTAGAGAGGCAGACATTCTGGCCCTGTGGGTAGTTCTTGCAGAAGATGGAGACTATGAAAGCACACATAGCGCGATGCTCGCTGGCGTTGCCGACGGGGATTGGTGACGAGGGATTGAGGATTGAGATAAAATAGTGAATCCCGTTATCCTTGAGGAGATCGTTCTGGACGGTGTGGTCAACTGCCATGATTCTGGCCCAGATGAAAACCATGACAGGTTTCAATTCTTGGGCCGCTGACTGCAACAACTTGACGACATATGGGAAAATACCGATGCTCAATGCAAGGTGGACAGCCCATGGACCGAGATCCAGAAACTTGCTCAATAGAATCAAAGCCCGCAAACGATGTGCCTGGCTTAGAAGGACTTGCAAGACAATGGGAAGTTGGTCAGGTGGGTTCTTTTCTGTCGGACCGGACGAAAGATACACCTCAAAGGCAGTGAGCTGCTCAGCGAAGAAAGTAGAATGCTGGTACTCGTACTGGCGACGTCCCTCCTCATGATCAATGAGAGCAGGAAGCTGAGACAACACCATCTCGACAGCAAGGTCCCAGCTTTTCCATAGCGGGTGATGATGGGTTTCCGGAAGTTCGGGTGAAGAGATTGGATGGCATTTGTAGGTCCGCATAATACGTTCGCTTAGCAAAAAGTTGCGGAACAGAGCAGCAACCATCAAATCCTGCCGGAAAAGCTTCTTGAACAATGCCCGAGGCAAAGTATTCCATGCAATTGTATCAGTGATAGCGGTGAATATCCAGTTCAGCTCTCCAAGGGGGCTTCGACGATCCTGCAGTCGACCGGGAACTCGGAAATCGTCAATGGAAATGTCAGTTCGGAGAGGATTCTGCAAAATGAAGAAGCGGAGAGCGATTTCGATTGGTGTCGTCAAACAACAGGTGAACAAGTCCGCAGGCAAGTCGGGATTTGTTGGGAGAGACTCAGATTTCTGGCATGCAGCGAGGAGAATGCAGTCTCCATAGTTCTGGACGATGGCATTCGGGTCTCGCTTTTGGCTTCGATATTCTCTTTCTCATGTTTCTCAACAAAGGTGTGGAAATTCTGGACAATGTTACCTGCGTGCGAGACATCAAAGACGAAAAGACTGGGGCCAGCCAGCCACGATTGCAGATCATATAGCGGTACGGGAATGTATTGGGTGTAATTCTTGTTGAATACCCAAATTTCACCTGATTGAGTTGGAAGCGGCACACCGTGTCCATTGTAATGTAGAAGAACTCGCTCGTCCTTGGCATTCCGGCGAAGCGATATGCAGAACTTCTTTGTTTCATCGACCGACGGATCCAAGTACTGCTTGTATCTTGTCCGTAGACTCAAGGTCTCGTATTGCTCCTGTAGCTTCTTTCCGATCTGTTCCATAATTTTGTTCTGACCTCCACCAGTGGTCGAGGTGGGATCCACCCAGCATTCCAACTTTGATGTAGGGTTTGTCTTGACCACATCTGGGGGATCAACTCCAATGTTCAGACAAATCGCCAATGCCGCAGATACGGTCTTGAGGCGGTCCTTCATGCGCCAGTCCTGACTAGGCCAGCTTCCAACCGGGTCCCTGGGAACACCGTTGGTTTCGTGGCGCTTCTCGGTGAAGTACATGTAGAAATTCTAGTTAGAGCAGATAACTGTGTTAGCCTCTGGGACCCGCAATGCAAACTAATACTTCTCACCGAGTGTAAAATCTTCAAATATTCGCTCGAGGTGTATTCCTCTTGCCATCCGTGGCGCATAGCGAAGTCCTCGTCGTCATCGCCCGGTGCTTTATCAAAAGTGATACGGCTTGGCCCGTAATCACTTCTGGCTCTCTTCAGCACGGCGGGCCGGCTGCTTTCCGATCTCCGAGGAGAGGGGCGACGTGGGGGAGCATCTGAATCAATACCGCTAGATAAATTCTCCCCAGAGGAGCTTGTTGGTCGTCCAGGGAGCGCTAGGGAAGGCTGCCTTTGTTCGACCGTTGTGAATGAGCGATGGTGGCCAGCCAACGGAGCCGGAGATCTTTCGCGGGAGGGAATCGTGGTTTCCAACTCAGGACCAAATGCGACTCGAGCTGATTTGTTCGGATTTCGTCGCGGGGCTGTTGACCCGTTGGTCGGTTGTTGTGAGATGTGTTCCATGTCAGTGGTGGGATCCCTCATATTGTCTGTCGGCTCATGGTGTTACGCGCGAGTGGAGGGCGAAGAATAACCGTCCGAAGTGTCCAGACAAGCTGCGAGTATCTCCAAGTGCTTAAATCAGTTGAATGTCGCTCTTGGATTTGCCGTGGGGGGTTGAGGTGTAGCTGAAGAAGAGATGATGAAATGATCTAGCTTGCCTAGAACTAGGCGGGAACTGGAGTCAGCCCGGTCTCAAATCGCGACTGTCCTGGAGATAATCCAAGAGCGCACAGAGAGCACAGCGCACAGCCTATTGAAGTCCAGTGAGCTTCCTGTTCTAGCCGATGGGGTTCGAATGGGGACGCAGCATCGGAGTATCTATGTTCCGGGTCCACTGATTACTCATGTCTTGGCGCCTGCCCTAGGAAGTATAACTTATAATCAAGAGTTTGGCATTTGGAGATTCAGATTCTTGTCGCTAATTACACCGCTGTAAAATTCAATACCAGTGATAACTAGATTTTATAACAGGCCCAACGTTTGTATGACATCGGTAGACAGATACACAATCGCTTACTTGCGGTCTTTAACATGGACTTAACTGGACAGACCAGTATTCGCTTGGTGGGGACTAGGGGCAAAGCTAAAGGAAGTATCGATTCTTAGTCTCTTGCATATAGACAGAGATGTATATACCTATACACAAGCACGTGGTCGGAATAGATGAAGGTGTAACAGTTATTCGCTCCCATGCTGCACCTGTTTTGACTGCATGAGGCGTTATAACTTATTGATCTTCCACCGCATCAGCCGAACCTTATTTCATTGGACAAGGAAAGCATTGGAATGTTCTTAGCCTAGCGTTGTAGGTTAGTAGACACGAGCATCACCTGATAAGCATCACCTGATAGTGGATTGCTGGAATGCAGTATGGTCAAAATATAGCAAGTTGAATGTCCATATTTGTCCCAGTGATACTGTATCTAACACATAGATAACAATCTTATGCAGTGGAATACTTATAGGGTTCCAATTTAGGCGACCGAAATAACCCAGGGATCTTTTGAGTATATACTGTGGAAGACAGGATACCAAGGCAGGACGACCCATATATCACTTAGGCGCGGAGCTTGAACGGTACACATGTCAACAAAGATGCTCAACCGTATACAAGGAGGTAGAAATGCAATTTAACACAGAGACAGATCTTACATGGCGGGAAATGTCTAAGACAGCTGCATAATGAGATCAGGATGGACACGGTACATAATTAGTGTCACTGGAAGGCTGAACCTGGGGAACCCGACAGGTTTGGATACGTCAATTGAGACAAATAGTAAAAAAGAACACAAAGACAGAAACTGCCCAATGAGAATACATTTTAGCATTATATTTTCATCCCTTGACGACAAGAAACGGGCTGGCGCTCAGGGACCGAGAGATCATCGCTTAGATTCTTCTGATAGGCAGGGAAACCCCAACCCCCTTTTTCGTGGATCCATCATTTGGCTTCACCTACTTTTCTTCTGCTTTCAAATGAGCCTGGTTTGATCAGGCTCTCTCGGCTCTCGATATACTATCCAATAAGTGACGATATATGCCTTCTGCACGTTGTGGGGTGTGGATCGCCGTGTGGAATTGGGGAATGCAGTGCCAGGATGAATTATCATTGGACCTGCAGCGAGTGTTCACACCGTGGTCGAGTCCGAGGCCCCGCGGCATAAGGCAGGTTTGTAGTGTGATCCAGAAGTTAGGGTTGCTTAACGAGGTCCATTTAGATGTATTCCACTACGTCAACTTAAGGATACCCTAATCTGCCAAGGTGGTTTCATAGTCAAATTTGTGTTATGTTTAGTCTATAGATATGCCAAAGTACTGGAATGTGTCACCATGGTTCCTGGAGGCTGGAAGAAAGGAATGAGAATAAACATAGAAACAAAAATAGAAGACCCATGTCGATGGATCTGGACTTATAACTTATAATATTACGATCGAAGACGTGCCCCTGAGTACATGTATGCAGTTGAACTAAGACTAGTTTGACTAGAGCATCTCCGCCAGGGAAATTGAAACACTCGGCTTCGCTTTTCTTCCCATTCACATTTTCCACCCCCTTTCTCAGCCTTGGGCTTTTTGTGTTATTTAACAGTTCATGCCCAGGGCGGCGAATGCCGGAGGCTTTTAGGACCCTCCCCCTGGCCACTTTTATTTTGAGGAACGAGTCGTGTATGGAACAGCTTCCCGTGGTTCCTGTTCCTGGTTCCCACTCCACTGAAAAAGAACACCTCCCCCTATCCCCAATTTCTTGGAGGACATCTTCCCTTCCGAACTTCGCGGTGTCGGAGACACTGCGACCCGAATTCTTGCTACGACCGATTACGACCACATAATTACGATGGCTTTCTTATTCAAATCGAAAAAGGCACAGCAGGGCACGGCTCTTCCCCCCGCGACTCGAAATGTCCACACTTCTGAAGGCGCACCGTCTACAGGATCACCTTCCCTGTCAAATGGGGTGAAAGGAGATGGCTCAGCCTCTCAGACGCCCACCCCCAGCGGCAGCTTCAGCCACTCACTCAACACGGCTAGTCCTACGAGCCCGGATGCAGTTCGTCCGCGACAAAGAGCGGAATCAGAATCTCAGGTTGGTATTTTGATCGTCGGCCTGCTGGCGAGGGCCATGTGAGCGCCAATGCTAATTTGTTTCCCCTAGGCCCAACGACCACAAGCACCACCAAACGGTATCCCGCCTCCGAGCCCGAACTCTTCCCTCTACCCATGGTCACAACGGCGACTGAACTTCTCCTCTCCACAAACAAATCCGTTCCCTCGATATGGCGCCGCAATCAATTCGGTGGCCTCCAAGGAAGGTGACATTTACATGATGGGTGGATTGATTGACGGGTCCACGGTCAAGGGCGATTTGTGGATGATCGAAAGCAGCGCTGGTAGCCTGAACTGTGTCCAGGTCGCAACCGTATCTGAAGGTCCTGGCCCGCGAGTTGGACATGCCAGTTTACTTGTCGGAAACGCTTTCATTGTGTTCGGAGGTGACACCAAGATCGACGAGAATGACAGTTTGGACGACACATTATATCTGCTGAATACTTGTAAGGTTCACGTCACTCGTATTGAAACATCGGGTTCTGATTATCGGTCTTTTAGCATCACGCCAATGGTCACGCGCCATCCCTCCTGGTTCTCGCCCTTCTGGACGTTACGGACACACTTTGAACATCTTGGGGTCTAAACTTTATGTGTTCGGAGGTCAGGTTGAAGGTTTCTTCTTTAATGACTTAATTGCCTTCGATTTAAACCAGCTCCAGAATCCTGCAAACAAATGGGAAGTGCTCGTCCAGAACAGCCACGAAGGTGGGCCCCCAGCTGGTCAAATTCCCCCAGCGAGAACCAACCACACGATTGTCAGCTACAATGACAAGCTATATTTGTAAGATACGCAGAGTTAACCCTACCGCGATCCGGAACTGACGATAATACAGGTTCGGAGGTACAAATGGAATGCAGTGGTTCAACGATGTCTGGGCATACGATCCACATACCACCACCTGGACCGAGATGGATTGTGTTGGATTCATTCCCACGCCCAGAGAGGGCCACGCCTCTGCCTTGGTCGGTGATGTGATGTATGTGTTTGGAGGTCGCACTGACGAAGGTGTTGATCTGGGAGACCTGTCCGCCTTCCGCATCTCAACTCGACGATGGTTTTCTTTCCAAAACATGGGCCCGGCACCATCTCCTCGGTCTGGCCACAGCATGACAGCCTTCGGCAAACAGATTATCGTCATGGCAGGCGAGCCGAGCTCGTCTCCCAGAGACCCGGTTGAACTGAGCATGTCCTACATCCTTGATACCAGCAAAATCCGGTATCCCAATGATTCACAACCTGGAGGGCGAGTTTCCGAAGCATCAGCCAGAAAGACAAGCGTTGAGAAACAGGGTCCCACATCTGGACGAACATCTCGTGAAGCCCAAAACCAACATCCCGAACACGCGATGCGCAAAGGCCCCACACCTTCACGAGAAAGCATGATCATGGCGGCTGGAGGCTCGAATCCAAACCTAGGACCAGGATCTAGACTGCCCCGGGCTTCAATCGCTCAGGCTCCCTCCGGACCACCTCCTCCTGGCCAAGCACCGTCTCCCGGCCCCCGAGGCAACGGTCCTCCTGCCGGCGCGAACCCTCGCAGCAAGACTCCAACAAAGAACGAGCGTGGCAACACCCCCACTATTGATATCCGTACGGCAAACGGTGAGCGTAGCGAGTCCCCAGTCGCGAAGGACGGACCCCAAGATTCACATGGACCTCCGTCGGCTGGTCGCCGAACCCCCACTCAGCATCAAAGACCATCAGCCAAAGCAATGGAAGCGGGTGAAGCCGCTCCTCTTATTAGTGCCCCAGGCCGCCAGCGGTCGCTCCGTTCTCAACGACAGCGTGCGTCTGTCGACAGTGGCGAAGAGTCCATCTTGGGTCGGCATGCCAGCATCGAGGGCTCGATTGACTCTCGAAGCTACCGCAACTCCAAGACTCTTGGCGATGAGCCTCGGTCCCCTCGCCTCACCCCTCATCAGGAGGCATTGATCAAGGAGCTGGAGGCTACTAAGGCTCGAAATGCCTGGTATGCATCAGAACTTGCGCTCGCGAAGAAGGGGGGCTATGTTCCAAATGCGACAAGTAGCCCTGCTCTGGATGAACGGGCTAGTGATGTCTTGAATGATGAGGATCGCCCCCTCCTCGAGGCCTTCTTGGCCATGAGAGCAGACCTGGTCAAGATGCAGGCTACTGTAGACCGACAGGCTGCCATTGCATCCAAGCGTGTTGCTGAAGTAGAGCACCAACGTGACATGGCTATCAATGAGGCAGCATATTCGCGGGCCAAGCTCGCTGCCCACGGTGGCAGTCAGCGAGGCACCCCACAGCCCGAGAGTTCCCGTGATGGTGATGATGAGCGCCCCACTGATATGGGCCGTCGCCTTGCGCTGGCCCTAGCCTCCCAGGCTGAGCTTAAGGCCAAGCTAGATCT